ACTTAGAATTTTTCAATTTAAATTATTATATAAAATTCTTGCTACCAACAGAATGTTATTTATATGGGGGATACAATCTTCCCAGCTCTGCAGATTTTGCTGCGAAGAGACAGAATCATTATATAATTTGTTTTGGTAATGTCCATTTGTAGCTTGTTTTTGGACACAGGTCCAGGAATGGCTAAAGGATTGCAATATTTACCTGGAGCTAACCCTGCAGATAGCACTACTGGGTGATCTGAAAAGTCATAGTCAATCGATCAATAATATAATAATACTTTTAGCAAAAATGTTTATTTTCAATTTACGATCTGTAGAAACAATGAGAATAGAAAGGTTCAGAACTTTTGTAAAACATCACAGTACAGTTGAAAAATATATGGCAAATAGAAATCCAATATGGATGGTGTTAAGAGATAGATGGGAGGTGTTGAATGGAGCTGAACGATGGGACTAATATCAACAACTAATAACAACAAGATAACTAATGTAAAGCATACTGTGTCCATAATAAGTATATAGGTTATAGGTTGAGAGCTTTTGTGAAAGAGCACAGTTAGAAAAATATGGCATATAGAAGCAAACCAGATGGACATCATGAAAATGATCAGAGGAAGTTCAGGAGTAAAAACAAACAAAATATAATTATTGTCCATAAAATGTATATAGTATGTATGGGCTGGAATTAGAGGCCTAAGCGTTGTTGTTCACTAGTTTACTCCAATTGGGGAAGGGGTGGTGGGGTTGGAAAGTAATGAAGGGAAATATAATTTTTAAAAGGATATGTGTATGTGTGTGTATGTGTGTGTATGTATGTGTATATGTGTATGTGTATGTGTGTAAATAATAATAAAACAAATAATAATAATAAAAATAACTTGACTGGCCTGCACAGAGCCCTAACCTCAACCCCATCGAACACCTTTGGGATGAATTGGAACGCCGACTACGAGCCAGGCCTAATCATCCAACATCAGTGCCCGACCTCACTAATGCTCTTATGTCTGAATGGAAGCAAGTCCACACAGCAATGTTCGAACATCTAGTAGAAAGCCTTCCCAGAAGAGTGGAGGCTGTTATAGCAGCAAAGGGGAGACCAACTCCATATAAATGCCCATGATTTTGTAATGAGAAGTTCGACGAGCAGGTGTCCACATACTTTTGGTCATGTAGTGTACCAACTGCCTCTGAGTCGGACAGCAGAGTGAAGTTAAAGCAGCCAACAAGTGCTCAGCATATGTGGGAACTCCTTCAAGACGGTTGGAAAAGCATTCCAGGTGAAGCTGGTTGAGAGAATGCCAAGAGTGTGCAAAGCTGTCATCAAGACAAGGGGTGGCTATTTGAAGAACCTCAAATATAAAATATATTTTGATTTGTTTAACACTTTTCTGGTTACTACATGATTCCATATGTGTTATATTCATAGTTTTGATGTCTTCACTATTATTCTACGATGTAGAAAATAGTAAAAATAAAGAAAAACCCTTGAATGTGTAGGTTTGTCCGAACTTTTGACTGGTACTGTATATATACAGTACATTATGTACTGCTCCACTAGCAGGTAAATATAATAGGAATAAGTCAAGTAAGTCATTGCACAGTATAGTTTTGTATCATAGTAATGACAATCTGACTATCGGAAGATGTGTTTTCCCTCCCTCCCTTTGTTGGCCATTCCATGAGGACGTGCACAGATAGAAGTCTGCCACTGCCGAGCACATGCTCCTTTGCCCTCCCACTCGCCAAGTGCCCTTTTGGGTGGTGATATATATTAAATGTATTACATTTTTATCAGAGGTACACTTCAACTGTGAGAGACGGAATATAAAACAAAAATCCAGAAAATCACATTGTATGATTTTTAAGTAATTCATTTTCATTTTATTGCATGACATAAGTATTTGATACATCAGAAAATCAGAACTTAATATTTGGTACAGAAACCTTTGTTTGCAATTACAGAGATCATACGTTTCCTGTAGGTCTTGACCAGGTTTGCACACACTGCAGCAGGGATTTTGGCCCACTCCTCCATACAGATCCTTCAGGTTTCGGGGCTGTCGCTGGGCAATACGGACTTTCAGCTCCCTCCAAAGATTTTCTATTAAGTTCAGGTCTGGAGACTGGCTAGGCCACTCTAGGACCTTGAGATGCTTCTTACGGAGCCACTCCTTAGTTGCCCTGGCTGTGTGTTTCGGGTCGTTGTCATGCTGGAAGACCCAGCCACGACCCATCTTCACTGCTCTTACTGAGGGAAGGAGGTTGTTGGCCAAGATCTCGCGATACATGGCCCCATCCATCCTCCCCTCAATACGGTGCAGTCGTCCTGTCCCCTTTGCAGAACAGCATCCCCAAAGAATGATGTTTCCACCTCCATGCTTCACGGTTGGGATGGTGTTCTTGGGGTTGTACTCATCCTTATTCTTCCTCCAAACACGGCGAGTGGAGTTTAGACCAAAAAGCTCTATTTTTGTCTCATCAGACCACATGACCTTCTCCCATTCCTCCTCTGGATCATCCAGATGGTCATTGGCAAACTTCAGATGGGCCTGGACATGCGCTGGCTTGAGCAGGGGGACCTTGCGTGCGCTGCAGGATTTTAATCCATGACGGCGTAGTGTGTTACTAATGGTTTTCTTTGAGACTGTGGTCCCTGCTCTCTTCAGGTCATTGACCAGGTCCTGCCATGTAGTTCTGGGCTGATCCCTCACCTTCCTCATGATCATTGATGCCCCACGAGGTGAGATCTTGCATGGAGCCCCAGACCGAAGGTGATTGGCCGTCATCTTGAACTTCTTCCATTTTCTAATAATTGCGCCAACAGTTGTTGCCTTCTCACCAAGCTGCTTGCCTATTGTCCTGTAGCCCATCCCAGCCTTGTGCAGGTCAACAATTTTATCCCTGATGTCCTTACACAGCTCTCTGGTCTTAGCCATTGTGGAGAGGTTGGAGTCTGTTTGATTGAGTGTGTGGACAGGTGTCTTTTATACTTTTATACAGAGTTCAAACAGGTGCAGTTAATACAGGTAATGAGTGGAGAACAGGAGGGCTTCTTAAAGAAAAACTAACAGGTCTGTGAGAGCCGGAATTCTTACTGGTTGGTAGGTGATCAAATACTTATGTCATGCAATAAAATGCAAATTAATTACTTAAAAATCATACAATGTGATTTTCTGAATTTTTTGATTCCGTCTCTCACAGTTGAAGTGTACCTATGATAAAAATTACAGACCTCTACATGCTTTGTAAGTAGGAAAACCTGCAAAATCGGCAGTGTATCAAATACTTGTTCTCCCCACTGTATATATATATATATATATATATATATATACAGTGGGGGGAAAAAGTATTTAGTCAGCCACCAATTGTGCAAGTTCTCCCACTTAAAAAGATGAGAGAGGCCTGTAATTTACATCATAGGTACACGTCAACTATGACAGACAAATTGAGGGGAAAAAATCCAGAAAATCACATTGTAGGATTTTTTATGAATTTATTTGCAAATTATGGTGGAAAATAAGTATTTGGTCACCTACAAACAAGCAAGATTTCTGTCTCTCACAGACCTGTAACTTCTTCTTTAAGAGGCTCCTCTGTCCTCCACTCGTTACCTGTATTAATGGCACCTGTTTGAACTTGTTATCAGTATAAAAGACACCTGTCCACAACCTCAAACAGTCACACTCCAAACTCCACTATGGCCAAGACCAAAGAGCTGTCAAAGGACACCAGAAACAAAATTGTAGACCTGCACTAGGCTGGGAAGACTGAATCTGCAATAGGTAAGTAGCTTGGTTTGAAGAAATCAACTGTGGGAGCAATTATTAGGAAATGGAAGACATACAAGACCACTGATAATCTCCCTCGATCTGGGGCTCCACGCAAGATCTCACCCTGTGGGGTCAAAATGATCACAAGAACGGTGAGCAAAAATCCCAGAACCACACGGGGGGACCTAGTGAATGACCTGCAGAGAGCTGGGACCAAAGTAACAAAGCCTACCATCAGTAACACACTATGCCGCCAGACGTAGTGCCAGACGTGTCCCCCTGCTTAAGCCAGTACATGTCCAGGCCCGTCTGAAGTTTGCTAGAGTGCATTTGGATGATCCAGAAGAGGATTGGGAGAATGTCATATGGTCAGATGAAACCAAAATATAACTTTTTGGTAAAAACTCAACTCGTCGTGTTTGGAGGACAGAGAATGCTGAGTTGCATCCAAAGAACACCATACCTACTGTGAAGCATGGGGGTGGAAACATCATGCTTTGGGGCTGTTTTTCTGCAAAGGGACCAGGACGACTGATCCATGTAAAGGAAAGAATGAATGGGGCCATGTATCGTGAGATTTTGAGTGAAAACCTCCTTCCATAAGCAAGGGCATTGAAGATGAAACGTGGCTGGGTCTTTCAGCATGACAATGATCCCAAACACACCGCCCGGGCAACGAAGGAGTGGCTTCGTAAGAAGCATTTCAAGGTCCTGGAGTGGCCTAGCCAGTCTCCAGATCTCAACCCCATAGAAAATCTTTGGAGGGAGTTGAAAGTCTGTGTTGCCCAGCGACACTGCTCTAGAGGAGATCTGCATGGAGTAATGGGCCAAAATACCAGCAACAGTGTGTGAAAACCTTGTGAAGACTTACAGAAAACGTTTGAGCTGTGTCATTGCCAACAAAGGGTATATAACAAAGTATTGAGAAACTTTTGTTATTGACCAAATACTTATTTTCCACCATAATCTGCAAATAAATTCATTAAAAATCCTACAATGTGATTATCTGGCATTTTTTTTCTCATTTTGTCTGTCATATTTGACGTGTACCTATGATGAAAATTACAGGCCTCTCTGATCTTTTTAAGTGGGAGAACTTGCACAATTGGTGGCTGACTAAATACTTTTTTCCCCCACTGTATATATACATCCCCATTTCCCTCTCCCTCTCTTCCCCTCACTCCTCTCCGTCTTCTTTGACAGGTGATCCAGACAGTGAGGCCATCAGACATGGACAACTTTGCAAATGGACGATTCTCGTTTGCCCTGCCTATTGACCTTCCAGTCAATCCTAACTTCACCCTGAAGGATAACGAAGGTAGGCTGGCTACATTTGCACAACATGTTGTTCAACCGCCACCAGGGATTCTGGGTGTGGACAGATATTTGTGGCAGATACTCTGGAGCAGCATTACTAACACAAATATATCTAGTGGCGTTTGTTGTCAAACAGTTTTCCCCGTTTACACTTTCTCCTCCCTGGAGACAAATGTATAATAAAAGGGCAGGGATGTTTCCTTGGAGGGGTGTTTCCTTGGTAACACAATATTTTTTCCTTGTCCTTATTTTAGCTTAAGGCTGCTTGGCTGAATTCAGAGAGAACACTGTTATGTTCTTTTTTTTTTTTCCTTGTCTGAAAACCCAATTGCTCCTTTGGCAGATCAGGGAGAACCTCGAGATTAAGGTAGACTTCCAAGACGGATGACAGCAATCAGTACGATGCAAGACAGAGGCAGTGAGCTTCCACTGAGTTTTTGATCAGCGCTCTGTGCTCTCGGTGGTGGTGTAGCCTAGCACTTGGCTTTTATCCCCTCCCCAACTGGCCCTGTTTTCCCTCAGGCGCTTTTTCAGTGAAACCACATTTCCACTGATGTGCATTAGGCCTATGTTTACACATACAGGAGGACCAGGTAGTACTCCTCAGATAGAGCTAAAAGGAACACTGCTGCATCAGTGCAGTGATTGGGTGGAAGTAGGATACGCTAGCTCCCTCAGGCTGTGGAATCTAGTAGATGTGGTTATTATGTTTTGCTTTTGAAAGGTTTTGATTGAATTTATATTAATTATTTAATATATAATCAGTGTCCTGTGGTACAATCTGGATGATTTCCTATCGTTCACCAACTGATAGTCATGATTGATATTGCCAGAAATGCCTTGTGAATGCGGTAGAATTTTACAGACCTACAGCAGCTTACTCTCTAGGATGTGTTAGAGAGAAAGATAATAATCTATGATTTCCTCTGCTGTAATCAGAATAATTTGGAGGAAGAAAGAAGCTGGGAGGTGGCTTTATATTCTATTGTCTCCCAAGTGGAGGATGAATGAGAGATATATTGGGTCTTTCTTGTCTATTTGTTTCCTCTAAGTGGGCGAGGAGGTACAGTGATGAATTTGGACTTGAAGCTTGTGGGCCAGCGCTCCTGCATGCCAATAGGAATCCTATGTAAATTAATGCTTCCTCCTATGCACCTTCCCATGGGCTCGCTCTGTTGGAAAACATTTGTTGATATCAAGAAGGATGCAAGGGTTGACCCCTCCTCCTCCCCCCACCCCTCTTCCCCTGTCTCTTACCATCCCAAGTGACATGCTTTATCATGGCTCTGTGCTCCTGGGGGAAAATGAATCTGTATTGTGAAGAGGAGGGCCGTGATTGTGCATACAAAAGCGTCGCTCTGGGACGTGAAAATGAAAATCTGCTGGAGCCTCTCCTGAATGAGAAAAGCTATGGCAACAGCGGTGCTGGGCTGGATAGAATACTGTTGGCTAGTTTTAATAAAGCCTGAAGAGGCAGTCGCTATCTGACCCCAGTCTTTTCTAAGAGATAGCAGCGGGAATGAGTGGGGAACTATGGGCTTCCTCTGCAATGTTGGCGAACACTCCTCATATTTCAGGGAAAGTTATTTGTTGTACTACTCTTCTGTTCTCTGTGGTTGCCTATGTTATTTCAGGGGGAAATCAGGTCAGGGCAACGTTCCTTTAGATGGTATATTTTGGAAAAGTAGATCAAATGATGAAAATACACTGCATTTTGGAGTAATGTCTGTATCAAGTCTTATAGTGACTTTTTGTCAATACAATTATACATCCAGTGTATTTTAAACCTTGTCATTCCACTCCAGACAATACTGCCAGCATCGTGGCGCGGAGGCGTCAGTTCAGCCAATCGGAGCAGGATCTCTACCAGCTCCCTGTGGTTGTGAGGGACGGAGGAGAGCCTGTCCTGAGCAGCACCTCCACCCTGAGCCTCCGGGTGTGTGTCTGCCAGAGAGGAGGAGGTAGCAGCAGCAGCAGCAGGGTGAAGGCCTGCCGAGTCCCGGCCTTCCTCTCCACAGCAGGCCTGAGCACCGGGGCCTTCGTCGCCATTCTGCTCTGCATCATCATCCTGCTGGGTAAGAGACAAGAGAGGGTGTGGAGGGGGCAGGGAGGAAGGTGGCATGGTGGGGAAGAGAAGTTGGGAGAGAGAGAGAACTGTTCATTTTTATTGTTTACAGTGAGGGAAAAAAGTATTTGATCCCCTGCTGATTTTGTACGTTTGCCCACTGACAAAGACATGATCAGTCTATAATTTTAATGGTAGGTTTATTTGAACAGTGAGAGACAGAATAACAACAAAGAAATCCAGAAAAACGCATGTCCAAAATGTTGTAAATTGATTTGCATTATAATGAGGGAAATAAGTATTTGACCCCTCTGCAAAACATGACTTAGTACTTGGTGGCAAAACCCTTGTTAGCAATCACAGAGGTCAGACGTTTCTTGTAGTTGGCCACCAGGTTTGCACACATCTCAGGAGGGATTTTGTCCCACTCCTCTTTGCAGATCTTCTCCAAGTCATTAAGGTTTCGAGCCTGACGTTTGGCAACTCGAACCTTCAGCTCCCTCCACAGATTTCCTATGGGATTAAGGTCTGGAGACTGGCTAGGCCACTCCAGGACCTTAATGTGCTTCTTCTTGAGCCACTCCTTTGTTGCCTTGGCTGTGTGTTTTGGGTCATTGTCATGCTGGAATACCCATCCACGACCCATTTTCAATGCCCTGGCTGAGGGAAGGAGGTTCTCACCCAAGATTTGACGGTACATGGCCCCGTCCATCGTCCCTTTGATGCGGTGAAGTTGTCCTGTCCCCTTAGCAGAAAAGCACCCCCAAAGCATAATGTTTCCACCTCCATGTTTGACAGTGGGGATGGTGTTCTTGGGGTCATAGGCAGCATTCCTCCTCCTCCAAACACGGCGAGTTGAGTTGATGCAGTGGCGTAGTGGTCTTTTGCCACTAGTGATCCTGGTCTGAATCCAGGCCCCGTCGTAGCCGGCCGTGACCGGGAGACCCATGGGGCGGCGCACAATTGGCCCAGGGTAGGGGAGGGAATGGCCGGCAGGGATGTAGCTCAGTTGGTAGAGCATGGTGTTTGCAACGTCAGGGTTGTGGGTTCGATTCCCACGGGGTGCCAGTATGAAAAATTAAAAAAATAATGTATGCACTCACTAACTGTAAGTCGCTCTGGATAAGAGAGTCTACTAAAATGTAAAACATTTAATGCCAAAGATTTTGGTATCATCTGACCACAACACTTTCACCCAGTTCTCCTCTGAATCATTCAGATGTTCATTGGCAAACTTCAGACGGCCCTGTATATGTGCTTTCTTGAGCAGGAGGACCTTGCGGGCGCTGCAGGATTTCAGTCCTTCACAGCGTCGTGTGTTACTAATTGTTTTCTTGGTGACTATGGTCCCAGCTGCCTTGAGATCATTGACAAGATCCTCCTGTGTAGTTCTGGGCTGATTCGTCACCGTTCTCATGTTCATTGCAACTCCACGAGGTGAGATCTTGCATGGAGCCCCAGGCCGAGGGAGATAGACAGTTCTTTTGTGTTTCTTCCTTTTGCGAATAATCGCCCCAACTGTTGTCACCTTCTCACCAAGCTGCTTGGCGATGGTCTTGTAGCCCATTCCAGCCTTGTGTAGGTCTACAATCTTGTCCCTGACATCCTTGGAGAGCTCTTTGGTCTTGGCCATCGTGGAGAGTTTGGAATCTGATTGATTGATTGCTTCTGTGGACAGGTGTCTTTTATACAGGTAACAAGCTGAGATTAGGAGCACTCCCTTTAAGAGTGTGCTCCTAATCTCAGCTCGTTACCTGTATAAAAGACACCTGGCAGCCAGAAATCTTTCTGATTGATAGGGGGTCAAATACTTATTTCCCTCATTAAAATGCAAATCAATGTATAACATTTTTGACATGCGTTTTTCTGGATTTGTTTGTTGTTATTCTGTCTCTCACTGTTCAAATAAACCTACCATTAAAATTATAGGCTGATCATTTCTTTGTCAGTGGGCAAACGTACAAAATCAGCAGGGGATCAAATACTTTTTTCCCTCACTGTATTTCACTTTTGTTTACTATCTACTTCACTTGCTTTGGCAATGTTAACATATGTTTCCCATGCCAATAAAGCCCTTAAATTGAATTGAGAGAGGGAGGGAGGGAGGGAGGGAGGGATGGAGGGAGAGAGAGAGATGGGGAGGGAGAGAGACTCTTCTTGCCTGTGTGTGTGTTAAGTCAGCCACTTAGAGCCACACTCCAGAGTTGGGGGAGTGACCTTCTTGCCAATGGGGTAGAAATAATGAAAGGCTTCACACCAGCTGGAGGAGTAACTCTGTCTGATTTGTTTCCAGCAGCTAAGGCCACAATTCTACTTTTAAATCGATGCATTGGAGAATAGGCTGTGCATTTTGAGCCTGTAATGACATATTAATCGCTGTGGTCTTGTCCCCTCTCCTCTGGCCTGTACTGTAGCCATCGTGGTGCTATTTGTCATCCTGCGGAGCAAAAAGGGCAAGAAGGAGCCGTTAATCATCTCTGAGGAGGACGTCCGGGAGAACGTGGTCACCTACGACGACGAGGGCGGGGGCGAGGAGGACACAGAGGCGTTTGACATCGCAGCACTGCGGAACCCCGCCGGGGCGGAATGGAGGAGGCTGCGACGGGAGGAAAGGCCGGGGACAGAGGGGTGGCTGGTGGCCTGCGGGCCCCAGAGCCCGTCCCTGGTGCTGATGGATACAGAGGACATGCACCATGTCATTAGACAGAAAGTGGTGGAAGCTGACAGGGACACCAGCGGGCCGCCCTATGACTCCCTCCAGACGTACTCGTACGAGGGCCGTGGCTCCCCCACGGGGTCGGTCAGCTCTCTGGGGCTGGCCCAGGTCCTGCCCCCTGAACTCAGCTACAGTGACCTGAAGGACTGGGAGCCGGAGGGTCACACACTGTTTGGGACAGAACTCTCTGAGACAGAACAGACCATAGCCCCCTAAAACGTATCTCCTCTTCTATCCCATTAAAGGTTAACCTAACAATACAGAGCTATTTGAGTTATACAACTTGTTCCGTTTCGTTGTGGAATTGACTGTCATTTTACACTGGGCTCTGACAACTGAAGTGGAGGAAAGTATTACAATTTTTGGAGAAAAACAAACCCCCAAAATCATGAAGTTGGTATAAAAAAAAGGTAACTATTTTCCCTAGTGTATATTTTTATTGATAAATAAAGTTCAATGATTCCAGATAGGTGAATTTATATGCAAGTCATGTGTCATGATGTATAATGTGTCCAGTTTTGTAGGAGTTGCCTACTTAGTACCGTTGTGGTAAGTATCTGGGTCAGTATTCATAAAGTGTCTCAGAGTATGAGTACTGATATATGATCAGGTATGTCCCCTCTGTCCATATTATCGTGGTCATTATGATCTAAAAGGCAAAACTGATCTTAAATCAACACTCCTACTATGAGACGCTTTATGAATACGGGCCCTGTTCTTCTCAATATGATTGCTGACCCCACAGTCTGGAGTACAACTGTAACCTTCCAAGGTCTTTCAACTCTTTCTTTAGTTAACCAATATAAATTTGTGTACAGTTACCCAAAACTACATCAGAGGAGCAGAGCAACTTTTAATTGGGAAACAACACCATTCTACGAATGATAATTGGATCCAAATGCTTTGGTGTGTAGCTTTTTATTACTTCCCAGGGATTTATAAATCAGCTGTGAAAAGGTCTTGTTTCCTGCTCAGTCTTGATCAATTCCCATGAGTGCCAGCTCCGTCAATAAAGCAACAATAAACCGTTCCTTAATGTCTTTAATAATAACAGGCGATGAGGGGACTCTTATTTGAATTATTGGGCTATTTTTACAATACAATATTAATAATGGTTTCATTTTCTTATAATACACATAAAACAGGAATAATGATAATCAAGTAAGAGCTTATCCATTTACTCACACCATGTCTTATATATCATATTGAAATGATAATGTATCATGACTCCCACTACTATCACTTCTTTGAATATGATAATACAGCTAAACAGCCCATAAGACCATTCCACACCTACCTACAATATTACACAATATGCTGCATTGCAAACATTGTGTGTACTTACTCCTTTGAAAATAACTGTGACCCCAACAAAGATAATCATTCTGTTGTTGTAATGGTGGTTAGATTAAGAATAATGCATTACTATATAATTGCATTCTATCTGAGAAGGATGTTTAAAGGCTATGGAGGGTAAATAGCATCTCTGCGGCCTCCACCAATGTGATTACTTGTCCAGTTCCTTTTACCCATAAAGGAAAAAGGAAACCCACCAGGTGAACGGTTATGACAATTTTGCTTTAAAGTTGTCGGATCAACAAAGAGCTGCTGATAAAAGGAAAATCCTGGTGAATCCCAGGGAATAAATTCTAATACGGTATAGATTCCTGTATCTCAGTGTTAGATGATGCTATATACTGTACTTCCTCATGAATTAAAGGGGCTATCATGAGTTGCTACATCGATTTTTGGACTTATAAATTAAAGATATGTACCCATTGATTCTTGAAGAATATACACTACATGAACAAAAGTATGTGGACACCTGCTCATAATGTCACGAATTCAGCCGATGCTGCCCCTCCTCCTTGCTCGGGCAGGTTTCGGCGTTCATCGTCATCGGCTTACTAGCCACTACTGATCCATTTATCATCACTCCATTTGTCTTATAATAATAATATAATATGCCATTTAACAGACGCTTTTATCCAAAGCGTCTTACAGTCATGTGTGCATAAATTTTTACGTATGGGTGGTCCCGGGGATCGAACCCACTACCCTGGCGTTACAAGCGCCATGCTCTACCAATTGAGCTACAGATGTCTTGTCTTGTCTTGTCAATCACACACACCTGGTACTCATTCCCTCATTAGTCTGTGTATATGTGTTCCCTCTGCCCCTTGTCCTTTGTGAGTGATTGTTCATTGTGAGAGTGAGTAGCTTGGTTGAGCTACGCTTTCCTTGTATGTAGCTAAGGTGGAATTTTCCCTTGTGCTAGTTTCGTTTTGCTGCGCTTTATTCATGTACACTGAATAAACTCTGGATTTCGGTGTTTTACCCCCTGCGTCTGACTCCGTCATTCACACCTCATCACAGAATCACTCACCTTTATGGAGTCAGCAGGAGAGGAGCGCATGCCTGGAATCGTGGCAAGGGTCCAGGAACATTCCACTATGCTGGTCAGCTTGGGGGAAGCGATGGATCGGGTTCTTCAGGTCGTCCAACGCCTGGAGAGAAGAGGAACCGATCCGTCGAGACCAGCTCGCCAACCGGATCCAGCCACCTACATCACAGCACCCGGAGGGATCCAGATTTCTCGACCACGGGCGTTCGATGGGATGCCGGCTCTATGTCAGGGATTCCTTCTCCAACTGGAGCTGTACTGCTCCAGTGTCAGTCCTGCACCATCAGATCGAGAGCAGGTGTCCGTCCTCATTTCCTGCCTCTAGGGGAAAGCCCTGGAGTGAGCCAACGCGGTTTGGAGAGAAGGAGGAGCCGCGTTGGAGGACTACAGGGAGTTTGCCCGCCTATTTTGGGCGGTTTTCGATCACCCACCCGAGGGTCGAGAGGCAGGTGAGAGCTGGTCCACTTGAGGCAGGGGACGGGGACAGTACAGGAGTTCGCGCTAGATTTCCAGATTCTGGCAACAGGATCCGGGTGAAACGAGCGGGCCCTGATCAACCAGTTCTGGTGCCATCTACAGGAGAACGTCCGACGGGAGCTAGCCTGCCGTGACACCAGTTTGTCTTTTACCGAACTGGTGGACATGGCCATTCGTCTGGATAACCTGCTGGCAACCAGTGGACGTCCTGGAGGAGGTCTGCCCATTCCCGCCCCCAACCAATGCGGATCCAGAGCTCATGGAGCTGGGTGGTACCGCGCACTGAGAGAACAGAAGACGACAGCGACAGTGCCAATCGGATGGCACGAAGGGACATTCCACCACACGTTGTCGTCAGCGGTCTTTTGAGTCAGGAGGCGGCCGGCAGGGCACTCTCGCATCACCCCAGGTATTGAGCACCCACACCAGCCCTCTGCTGCGCACTGTACCATACCCATATACAGTGAGGGAAAAAAATATTTGATCCCCTGCTGATTTTGTACGTTTGCCCACTGACAAAAACATGATCAGTCTATATTTTTAATGGTAGGTTTATTTGAACAGTGAGAGACAGAATAACAACAAAGAAATCCAGAAAAACGCATGTCAAAATGTTGTAAATTGATTTGCAGTTTAATGAGGGAAATACGTATTTGACCCCTCTGCAAAACATGACTTAGTACTTGGTGGCAAAACCCTTGTTGGCAATCACAGAGGTCAGACGTTTCTTGTAGTTGGCCACCAGGTGTCCCACTCCTCTTTGCAGATCTTCTCCAAGTCATTAACATTTCGAGGCTGACATTTGGCAACTCAAACCTTTAGTTTCCTCCACAGATTTTCTATGTGATTAAGGTCTGGAGACTGGCTAGGCCACTCCAGGACCTTAATGTGCTTCTTCTTGAGCCACTCCTTTGTTGCCTTGGCTGTGTGTTTTGGGTCATTGTCATGCCGGAATACCAATCCACAAACCATTTTCAATGCCCTGACTGAGGGAAGGAGGTTCTCACCCAAGATTTGACGGTACATGGCCCCGTCCATCGTCCCTTTGATGCGGTGAAGTTGTCCTGTCCCCTTAGCAGAAAAGCACCCCCAAAGCATAATGTTTCCACCTCCATGTTTGACGGTGGGGATGGTGTTCTTGGGGTCATAGGCAGCATTCCTCCTCCTCCAAACACGGCAAGTTGAGTTGATGCCGAAGAGCTCGATTTTGGTCTCATCTGACCACAACACTTTCACCCAGTTCTCCTCTGAATCATTCAGATGTTCATTGGCAAACTTCAGACGGGCCTGTATATGTGCTTTCTTGAGCAGGGGGACCTTGCGGGCGCTGCAGGATTTCAGTCCTTTGCGGCGTAGTGTGTTACCAATTGTTGTCTTGGTGACTATGGTCCCAGCTGCCTTGAGATCATTGACAAGATCCTCCTGTGTAGTTCTGGGCTGATTCCTCACCGTTCTCATGATCATTGCAACTCCACGAGGTGAGATCTTGCATGGAGCCCCAGGCCGAGGGAGATAGACAGTTCTTTTGTGTTTCTTCCATTTGCGAATAATCACCCCAACTGTTGTCACCTTCTCACCAAGCTGCTTGGCGATGGTCTTGTAGCCCATTTCAGCCTTGTGTAGGTCTACAATCTTGTCTCTGACATCCTTGGAGAGCTCTTTGGTCTTGGCCATGGTGGAGAGTTTGGAATCTGATTGATTGCTTCTGTGGACAGGTGTCTTTTATACAGGTAACAAGCTGAGATTAGGAGCACTCCCTTTAAGAGTGTGCTCCTAATCTCAGCTCGTTACCTGTATAAAAGACACCTGGGAGACAGAAATCTTTCTGATTGAGAGGGGGTCAAATACTTATTTCCCTCATTAAAATGCAAATCAATTTATAACATTTTTGACATGAGTTTTTCTGGATTTTTTTGTTGTTATTCTGTCTCTCACTGTTCAAATAAACCTACCATTAAAATTATAGACTGATCATTTCTTTGTCAGTGGGCAAACGTACAAAATCAGCAGGGGATCAAATACTTTTTTCCCTCACTCTACTTCCCTGATTACATGAGAGTTCCCAAGAGCAAGGCACTAGTAGATTCAAGCGCAGCTGGGAACTTTATGGATAAAACTTTCGCACGCCGCCAGGGCATTTCATTAGTCCCCCTATCCATTCCACGCCCCATCAGAGCACTTGATAGTCGACCATTAGGATTAGGTTTGATAAAGGAAGTCACGGTACCAGTCACCATGATCACACAGGAGACGCATTGTGAGCAGGTCACTTTTTCCATCATTGGTTCTCCTGCTTTCCCTGTGGTGTTAGGTATTCCGTGGCTAGCACTCCACAACCCCACTTTCTCATGGCTGCAGAGGGTTCTCACGGGGTGGTCGCGAGAGTGTCAGGGTAGGTGTCTGGGTGTTTCCGTTGGTGCAACCACAGTGGAAAGTCCAGACGGTGCCTCCACCGTGCGCATTCCCCCCGAATACCATGATCTGGCACAAGTTTTCTCCAAGAATAAAGCAACTAAATTGCCACCTCATTGCGCAATAAACCTTCGGGTAGACGCTGTACCTCCCAGGAGTCATGTGTATCCCCTGTCGCAGGCGGAGACGGAGGCTATGGAGACATACGTCACCGAGTCCCTGCGCCAGGGGTACATACGTCCCTCCACTTCACCCGCCTCCTCAAGTTTATTTTTTGTGAAGAAGAAAGGCGGCGGTCTGCGCCC